ACTTCACATACCTTCCAAATATTTTTTTGTAATTGTTTCGAATATATACAATTTCCTCACGATGTTTTCGTTCACCGCTGATCACGTGATAAGTCAGCACTTAAAACTACCAATTTCATTTCATCGAACTCAGATTGCTCGATTATATTGAATTAAAAGTGAGTGCCCGGACAAAGAGCTATCCTGGCTAGTAACATAGAGAATGTAATCACTACGTTTTGGCTAGTAATTTGAGAGGTCCATAGATAATAAAGAATCTTAATTTTTTTTAACGGAGGGGTGACGTCGGTCAGGTGGCCGGTACGAAAAAGCATATCTAAAACCACTTACAACCTGATTTATATGTGTTGACCTCACTTAAGTGGGATAAGGGTAAGAGGATGATGATGAGTAGCCATTTTGCAGGTGGTTTAAAATAATATCTGTGAGTCACATATATTCATTTTATATTCAGGGCTACACAGATAGGAACGCAGTTAATCTTCCTATGCAGTTTTTTCTCTGTGCACCTACCTAACTGTCTCTGTACCACCCTAAGGTTGACTGGGTGATGATGCCTATGGCATTAAGTCCGCCTTTGTACTTTGTGTGCATTAAGAATAAAAAAAATAAAAAAAACGCACAGACATCCAATATAGATAGAAATGAAGTTATACAGTTGGCCGTGTGGTGTCGGCGTAAGAATAAGCCACCCCATCTCATCCCGTGGGTGTCGTAAGAGGCGACTAAGGGATAAGCCACAAACATCCAGTGGCCTCCGATAGATGGCGGGATAACCATCTTAATTCTCCAGACCCAAATATCCAGGCCAATAACGGGCAGCAGCGTTGAAGGTGCAAGGTGTCTGGAAGAACTGCGGTTGCCAACCCGCTCGCCAAGCGTGGCAACTATGGCAAAAACCCCTCATGTATGGAAGTCCAAGGTGTACGGCCCCCAGTCCCCGGCGGCCCTGCTATTCCTGGCTACGGTAGCGGTCATGGTAACGGCAGGGCAGGGGGTGCTAAGAATCCCCGGCTAGGATTCGGCTACCAACAACGGCGACTGGACCTGGCAACATACAACGCAAGAACATTGAGGACTGACGAGAAGATTACAGAGCTGGAAGAAGGTGAACAGGCTGCGCTGGGATATAATAGGATTATCTGAAGTCCGAAGACAGGGGGAGGACACGATAATCCTCGAATCCGGCAACCTGTTTTACCACCGGGAGGGCGACCAACTGTCCCAAGGAGGTGTCGGATTTATCGTCCACAAGTCTCTCATTAACAACGTTGTTAAAATCGAGGGTGTATCGTCGAGGGTTGCGTACCTTATACTCAGAATATCCAAACGGTATTCGCTGAAGGTCATACAGGTCTACGCACCAACGTCGACACATCCCGATGATGAGGTGGAGGCAATGTATGAGGATATATCACGAGCCATACATTCCTCCAAAACTCAATACATGGTGTTAATGGGAGACTTCAACGCAAAACTAGGCAAAAGGAAAGACGATGAGCTGAGAGTAGGAAGTTTTGGTATAGGGCAACGGAACCCAAGGGGGCAGCAGCTGGCTGACTTTATGGAGAAGGAGGGACTCTTTATGATGAACTCCTTCTTCAAAAAGCTAAAACGAGATAGACTTCATTATGACGAACAAACGGCAAATATTCCATGATGTCTCTGTGATCACAAGGGTGAAGACCGGCAGTGATCACCGATTGGTGAGAGGCACATTGAATATTAATATCAGGCTGGAAATATCTCGTCTAATGAAGTCCACACTCCGATCATCTCGTGCCCATATCCAGAACTCCGAAAGCTTTCGGCTCGAGCTACATAATCGCTTCCAATGCCTAGAAAATTGCAGCACTGTGGACGATATTAACGCTAAGCTCGTGGAAACTGTCCATGCCGTGGGCATTAAATTTTATAAGGCCCGCCGCACAAATAGAACGCAAAAACTCTCGGATCACACTCTTAACCTCTTGGGAAAAAGACGTGAGATGCGACTGCAGTCTTTAACTGTCATGTCAGACTACAGGCGGCTTAATAGGCAGATCTCCAAATGCATGCGGCGAGACTTACGCATCTTCAATACAGCTCGTATTGAGGGAGCTATAGAGCGGAACCTAGGCTCAAAAGTCTTCGCCAGAGATCTGTCTATCGGACAAAGCCAACTGACTAAGTTGAAGACTGACAGTGGGGCTGTCATCTCCAGTAGACCAGAGGTTTTGAGTGAGATTGAGAGGTTCTATGGACAGCTGTACACATCGTCGTTGGAGCCACACACATGTGAGTTACGACCCAAGAGCAAAGCTTATCCGACACTATTCCGAGAATATACCGGACGTCAATCTGAGCGAGATTAGAATGGCTCTCGACCATCTTAAAAATGGCAAAGCATCGGGAGAGGACGGAATTACAGCAGAGCTTCTGAAAGCGGGTGGAGAACCGGTACTTGTACTCCTTCAGAGGCTCTTTAATTTCATCCTTCAGGGTGGTGCTACACCAGAGGCGTGGAGCAGAAGTGTGGTGGTGATGTTCTTCAAGAAAGGCGATAACGCTCTCTTGAAGAACTATAGACCGGTATCCCTTCTGAGCCGCGTCTATGTGCTGTTCTCAAGAGTCATCTTGAATCGTCTCGCTTCCAGACTCAACGACTTCCAGCCTCCCGAACAAGCCGGATTCCGAAAAGGCTTCAGTACCATAGACAACATACACACCTTGCGGCAGGTTATACAGAAGACCGAAGAGTATAATCTGCCTTTGTGCCTAGCGTATGTGGACTATGAGAAAGCCTTCGATTCTGTCGAAATTTGGGCGGTACTCCAGGCTCTTCAGCAGTGCCAAATTGACTATCGGTATATCGAAGTGCTGAGGTGTTTGTATAACAAGGCTACGATGTCCGTCCAAGTACAGTCCAGTAGTACAAAACCTATCCATCTGCAGAAGGGTGTAAGACAGGGTGATGTCATATCCCCGAAACTCTTCACCGCTGCGTTGGAAGATGTTTTCAAGCTTCTGGACTGGAAAGGACGAGGTATTAACATCAATGGCGAATACATCACCCACCGTCGATTTCCCGACGATATAGTCATCATGGCAGAATCGCTGGAGGACCTGGGTGCTATGCTCAATGACCTCAACAGTGTCTCTCAACGGGTGGGCCTTAAGATGAACATGGACAAGACGAAGATCATTTCTAATGTCCATGTCACGCCTATACCGGTTGTTGTTGGGAGCACTGAGCTCGAAGTTGTTGACGAGTACGTTTACCTAGGACAGTTAGTCCGGCTAGGTAAGTCCAACTTCGACGCAGAGGTCAATCGGCGAATCCAACTCGGATGGGCAGCGTTCGGGAAACTTCGGCAAATCTTCTCGTCGAATATACCTCAATGTTTGAAGACTAAAGTCTTCAATCAATGTGTGTTGCCAGTGATGACCTACGGAACCGAGACGTGGTCCTTCACTGCTGGCCGTATGAGGAAGCTCAAAGTCGCTCAGCGAGCTATGGAGCGGGCTATGCTCGGTATTTCTCTGCGTGATAGAGTTCGTAACGAAGACATCCGCAGTAGAACTAAGATAACCGACATAGCTCAGAGGATTAGCAAGCTGAAGTGGCGATGGGCCGGCCATATAGCTCGTAGAACCGATAACCGTTGGGGAAGAAAGGTTCTCGAGTGGCAGCCTCGTACTGGCCATCGCAGTGTAGGACGACCCCTAGATGGAGTGACGAACTGTGCAAATGTGCGGGAAGTCGATGGATGCAGGTGGCTCAGGATCGTACTTCGTGGCAGTCTATGGGGGAGGCCTATGTGTAAGCAGTGGACTCAAACAGGCTGAAATGATGATGATGATGATGATGAAGTTATACAGATAGGAAGACACACTAATTAGATAAAAACAGAATTTAGATCGAAAATAGAAAAGTTAAAGTTAAACTAGCTTAGTGTAGTTGAATGTGAATTCACCTGGAATTATTAATTTCAAGTTTAGCGACAACGGCTTACAAAATTCGGTAAAGACATGTATTATAAAATCACCTTTTATTCAATTGCACCGAAACGCTCCATTGAAGTATCTGAACATATATCAAGATCTACTCTCTGACCATATACGTATAAAGCTCCACTCTTACTTGGGTCATTTTGTTTGTAAATAGTTCAACACGGACGCCATTTGAAGTCGTCGACCGTTTGATTGCGGATATGATTCTCATCGTACTCTCGTTTCGAAGTTTAAAGAGCCAGCTGATTCTAATCTCATTCTATGGACTGTGCGGAAATGCGGAATAGAAGACTTAATTAAATGGACATGTTTATAAAGTTGATAATAAAGTAATAACGCAGTAATTAAAAAATTATTCTGATGTGTGGAAGCATGTGGCAGATAAATAAATAAATAATAAGTAAATGTCCGTCCGTCCCGTGACCACAAGTGACATATACGGCTAATTGAGAGATTGGTACTCAACGTAACGTTTTTGTTGATCTTATAAATCACTCCTTTCATGGGACTTGTGGACACTTAGAATCATGCAAAATGTCTGAATAAATTTCAATTTTGTAAGTCATTAATTTGTTTTTTAATATCTTACTTTCTATGTAACCTTGTAAATATTATATAATTAGTTATAACATTCACTCTTAAAAATAAATTACTAACGAGTTCCAAAACGACAGGTCACTAATGTACTAATAAAACAAAGTTTCAAATTAACCTGATAATAATAATTACAAAATTATATAACATTTTTTAAGGCCCCCTTTAATTTTTTTCTAATTTAAAAATATATCTCACCTTATGCTAATACGACGACGATGGATGATGGAACGTGGCATGAAAACACAGGCGGGTTCACAGATTATAAATTACTAGTTTTTATTGCTTTTATAGCTTGTATGTATAGTTTTTCGTCGATAACGGCATCAAGTAACGCACCAGTGGCGCCATTAAATTGTTACGATTCGTTAGAAGCGTTTGTATCGCCGGTGCCTCTTCCAATAACATAAATCATGGAACACGGTAATGTTTATAAGCTATTTGGATAGCTTTTTTTATAATTGTTTGTATATTTATTACCCCTGTGGGTGTTACTAAAGACATTGTGAAAAAGTTATAACAAGGTTTTTCTATACAGCGTTAAATTCAAACAGCCTGTCAAATTCAAAAGAAAACATTGTTAGAATCTACAGCATTCTTAGATTTTAAGTAGATTCCATAATACCTATTTAGAGTAAAATAAAGGCTCTTTAATCAAAGTCAAAATCAAAGTCAAATATCTTTATTCAATATAGAAGCATTAATTTACTTATTGATAGTCAAAAAACTCTACCACCGGTTCGGAAGGAAAGCCACTGACCTGAGAAGAACCGGCGTAAGAAACTCAGCGGGACATTTTTTTTCTTGCCAAAAAAATACAAATATGTGTACAATTTATGAAATTCCACCTGAAAGAGCCTGGAGAGATCAATTCATTTCCAGAGTGTGTTATCATTCAAATAATAACTAATACTACAATAGCCATTAACACACAAACGTTCCTTTACAAGTTTTTTGAATTTAGTAATGGATTAATTTTGAACGTTTTCTGGGATTTTGTTGTAAAAGCGTATACATTGTCCCATAAAAGATTTACTTATTCTACGCAATCTAGTTGAGGGTAGAACTAATTTATGCTTGTTCCTAGTATTTACATCATGCACATTACTAAATCTTGAAAAGTCATTCTTATTTTTGTGGACATACATAATATTAGCAAGTATGTACTGAGAAGCTACAGTCAATATTTTTATTTCTTTAAACAAGTTTAATGTGCGGGAAGCCGATGGAGCTGCTGAGCTAAGTCTACTCGACAGTTTATTAATATGGGGGCCCCACTGCAATTTGGCATCTACACTTATGCCAAGAAATACAGTCGAGTCAATTAGGTCTAACGCTTCCCCATGTAAAAGTACATCAGTTTTTACACTTTTTACGTTGGGAGTAGTAAATTTAATACATTTCGTTTTGATACTATTGAAAATTAAGTTGTTAGCACTAAACCAATGCACTACAATGGAGAGAGTATTGTTATCATCGTCATAATTTAAAGAATGTCGTTTAACTTTAAAAATTAAAGAAGTATCATCAGCAAACAATACTATCTCATGATCATTATTAACAAGATAGGGCAGGTCATTTATGTAGATGAGGAAGAGAAAAGGCCCCAGAATAGATCCCCCATACTTACCAGGGAGATCTTTTGCCATTCACGTCAACTCTCTGAACACGATAGCTCAAGTATGATGTCAGAAGATTGAGTGCGGCCTCTCTTATACCATAGTGGTGTATTTTCCTTACCAAAGTGTCATGCTGTACACAATCAAATGCTTTGGTTAAGTCACAGAATATACCTAAGGCATCTTGTGACTCTTCCTAGGCTTCAAAAATATTCTTAACAAGCTGGATATGATGGATGAATATGGAGTAACGTTTGATTCAAAATATTTTTTTTTTAATTTTACTAAGAGTTGGTAGTACTGAAATAGGTCTAAAATTGCTGGGGTTAGAAGTACTACCAGATTTGAACACCGGAATGATCTTACTATGTTTCATAAGGTCAGAAAACTCGCCATTCATTGAAATAAATAAATAAACTTGAATAAATAAACAAGAATACACTAAACAGAAATAAATGTATTAACATAATAATTGACGCCATATATTTTCTAATCATTCAATTCAATCAAAAAAAAGATTTATTGATCTTTTACCATTGCATTCAGAATAGGTTTTCGTTCAATTTATTTTACGATGACGTACATTATATATTATATATTTACAGTTATTAAATACAAGCGGATATTGGCAATTACTTCATTACGTTCCTTTTTTATATTAGTGAATTCACGTTACTTATCCAAGGTCTCTTCAAATAGTAACTAAAAGTGTTCTTATTAGTAATACCTACTGCGAGTTAATTACATCTAGAAGCTGTATGTGAAAACTACCTTATGCGGGGGCATTTATAACACAATTTTTTTATAAAAACATTTCGATAGGTATGTGAAGTCAGCCAATCGGCGGTGGGGCCAATTTCCCTCTGCATAGAGGAGTCCTTTGTTCATTAGTGGGACATATACAGGGAGACTTTTTTTAAAGGTGCCCAAATTTACACAGGAGGTTCAGACTCGGTAGTATAATCGTTCATTGAAATAAAACATTTTTTTAAAAAAATGACCATTCTGTTCCCTAAAAAACAAAACTTGTTGACAACGCGGTAGTCATTCATTAATACCTAAATTTTACTGTTCACGCACACAAACGAACTTGTGTGCGTGTTAGTTATGAATGATCGCGCGTAAAATAAATGAGTTGAGTAGAAATAACGCACTTTTTGAGATAAGTTCGAATGAATGTAATTCATTACTTACGAGTGATTTAAAATATTTATCATTTTCATATAACATTGTTTATGTTTAGAATTTAATTTAAAAAAATGGATGCTCTTAGAAAAGCCTCCCTGTATTAGGCTCGCTTTACTTATCGAATAACTTAGCAACAGCAACAGCGCCGCCCAGTTAAACACATTTTCACAAATGTATATCGTTACAGATATGACGTATACAATAACTGGGGAGAGCCTGTAGCTAATTCCCAGCATATTAATTCCAGACCATATCCAAGTCTGCGGAACGGCGCTCGACGGAGCGCGAAGGGCCAATGCGTGCGTTCGGCTTTTTTTAGAAACCTCTCAGCTATGTGGTTCGGTTGCGACGAATGATTTAAAACGAACAACGGAACTTCGTGCACGGAGAGTTAGTAATTTATTTATTGGTACACAACTATCACTACAGGTTAACCCAATTCGATAGTGTGGCTAAGAAAAGCTTTTTAACAAAAAAAGAACCGACTTCAAAAAACTTTATTATCACTAAAAAGTTTATAATAAAATGCCTTGAAAAAAAAGTAGTACTAAATCTAATATAATCAAATCGTGAAAATGTACCCTATGTAACTCTTGCCTATGTTCACCATGGGTAATGGTGAAATTTACCAAGGTGTCATGGTGTACAAACACTATAACACCTTGGTAAATAAAAAGCTTTATGACAAAAAAAAGAACTGACTTCAAAAACTCTATTAGCACTAAAAAGTTTATATAATACTATATCTAATATAATCAAATATAGAAAATTTAGCCTATATTTTTATTACGTGGGAAAATTCCTTTATGGATCCTCCACCGCCTTGTGTGTACCTCTGTACTGAGGAGGCCTTTGCTCAGCAGTGGGATATACATAGACTGTATACTACTTTACTAATTACTATTACATTTTATGCAAAATATCAATAGTTAAATAAAGAAAAAAAAAATTAAAAACAAATTAAATTGAAACGTTAACATAAGTACATCCTGTATAAGCATTAATGTTTTACGTTACCTTGTTTTTTTTTTCATACTAACAAAAGCGGCCAGAGCGGTCATCGATGTTCGTCCACTTATATTAGTATCTACCTTCTGTATTAATTATTTACTATTTTTCAAATTATCTTCGTCTTAATATTGTCTTGTTAAATGGTGATTTGTGCTTTATGGTAGTAACTATGTATACACGATTGATGATACTGTTATACAGTAAAACTCTTATGAGTTTATGTTAGTATCAGTATAATAAGTTTGTATTTTTTTTTTATACAAATAAAAAAATTAAAAAAAAAATAACTTCAATCGACAATGGATAAGGTAAAGTTAGTGCAAGTTAAACTATCCCTTAGCTTCTTGCCACTTTCCACCTGTTGTTTTTTTCTCTTTTATTACAGAAACTATTAAAGAAAACCGCATCAAATTCCGTTGTGTAGTTTTAAAGATCTAAGCATATATAGGGATAGACAGACAGCGGGACGACTTTGTTTTATACTATGTAGTGATTATGTCAAATCGATTCGCAGACCTTATATGTTTGTAGGCATTTATTTTTCTATCAATAATTTCTCGTAGTTATTGTTTTCAAATCGATTAGCTCGCAAATACGCTTCCGATTGTCATGACACGTCTGTATTTCCATTTATCACCGCGCTCCGTTTAATTGCAAACATATTGCAGTTCAAATTTAGAACAGCGGCAGTTGATAAGAGCACGGGCCAATTTCAAACCGTCGTAAACGTTCATGCCACTATCCGACGGCTAGTTCAATTGAGCGAGTAGCCGGAATCGGGAAGTGGGTCATGCGGCGATTTCAGTGAGGCACAACTACAATTGACACGAATCTATGCCCGTCATAAACGGGTTTAAGAGAGCGGGCCCTCGTCGCTGGATGGTCCTTCACGTACAATCAGTCGGAACGTGTCTGTTTGATTGAATGCGCGAGCACGTCACGCGTGGCCGAGTATGGGGAGCTCTGGTGATACGCAAGGATTTGATCCGCTGAGTGCGGATCGTGTTTCGCGACATGCACTTGCACGCCACCCGGCGATGGCTATATATTAATCTATCTTTTACATGTTATTTATAATAACCAATATAATATGTATAAGATATTTTGTCGGAGCGACATAATTAAAACGATTTTATTTTTCTTACTATTTTTATTTAGTTACTTTTCAATAGTTTCTCAATAGCTTTGTCTTTTGTTTTTAAATTTATAAATTAATATTGTTTAATGCATAGAACATCAAGCATGTAGTGTACATATATTTTTGGAGGACAGTATATATAAGTTGTCATTATTAAGTTCCCATGTGGTCCCATATTAAATTCATTGGTATTGGATCTTGGGTTCCGGAGATACTTAGGGAACTTCTGAAAATTAATTATAAAATGAATACAGAGCGAGATATTTGAAGTCGGTTTTGTTTTTCGTTAGTAAAAAAATGAAGCCGAATTACTACTGGTTACAATAAAGCAACATTAGAGCTTCTATTCACGTCTGCTCGTTTGTCCTCCGCGTGCGAGCCTCGCCTCGCTTCCGTGGTCACACCTGACTCCGTGCGACTGCTAATCGCTAAGGACAATTAATTTGCTATTCCTTTTCTTACTGATTTATTAATATCCGCCGTATTATTTAGTAACCATGTGCTGCGATGTTCAATGTTACTATGGTTCAAAGTAGTGGGCACTAATGAATTAGGCGCAATGTACGTGCGGAGAATCGCTACGTGTGCACCGGACTTGGCGTAAAATAATATAAAATGAACCGAAAACTGCGCGAATATCTTTGATGTAGTATGAATGTCTACAGTCCAATAATTCTTTTTTTGGTGAGAAGGTGGAAAGCTAGCGGTTTGCCTGATGGTAAGTAATAACCGCCGCCCATGGACATTCACGCCGGTATTCTGTGATGTCGTGGTACTTCCCCGGACGGACCTGCCCATTCGTGCAACAAACAATACTGTAGAGTGTTCCTACCACAGCTTCTATATAGTCGTATATAGAAATAATCCGAGAACAAAACAGGCTGTTGCTTTGTTTAATCCTGACAAGTAGGCGGAGATAGATAACAACACCCACAAATCTTAGTTGCAAAACTTGACAGGTAGTGAAGTGGTCATCACTGTAAAAAGCTAGACTGTGCAATTGTCACAAGACAGGGCGTTAACTCTTCGGAAAGTACAACCAGGAAGTGCAACTATTTTTAAAACAAAAATTACGGGGGATCAAACACATAACACTGCGCGCCAAGGTGACCACGAAAGTTATACCGATATTCGTGCAGTCAAATAGGAGTTTATCGCTGTCTCTAAATCTCTTTATTTAATAAACGCTAGAAAGGAAAAATAAAAGAAAGTAGGAAAAACCTAATTTGTGGAAGCACGACATTAAGAAACGAACTTGCCTCCGTGGCGCAAGGTATCGGGGGCCGTGGGTTCGATTCCCACGCGGGATAAGAATTTGTTTGACCCACAGATAGTTGTTTTGCGTCTGGGTGTTTGTCCACGTGAAATCGAGGATATCTGACTTTAACTAATCTTTTCATTTCTAAGTACGTTTTTGACCAGAACCTTTGTTGTTTTTCAGGTACTTCTAGAGGAATGTCTATTAAGTATTCCTCGCCAGGTATGTCTGTTTTAGCTGGTTATGGGTTCGATATTTGCGTGTTACGACAGGAGCCTTGCGGAGGAAGATTTATTAGATGCTTCATAATATGTCCTCGGCGCCCTGTTTACTTAACGACGGATGACCGCTGCATTCAAGGGTGACCATCATTTGTGAATTTCTATGATGATTATAAACTATTCATTAAATTTTAGCTGTTGAGTCGTTCTTGTTTTCTCATATGAATTTTTCATTCATTCATATGTACACAATACATATATTAAACAACGTATAAGATCACGTAAATACTTTGAATGATACGTATTAAGAGTGCATATGTGGTAGGGTCACCGAACAATTTCTGCTGTTGCACGAATGGGCAGGCTCGTTCGAGGAGGTGACACGGCCTCACAGCGAAGATCAGTGTGAGGTGGACGTATTATACATTCGCCTAGCGTCTGGTGAGTGAGATGACCTGGGGCGGTTTCTGCAAGGTGATCGGTATTCACTTAACATTAGATGAACGACCTGCTTTGAACAACTTTTGAAATAAAATAACTAAGGGCTACAGATACACTCTAGCACTGATCCCATCTCGGCTGAAAAGTATAGAGCGGGAGGCAAGTGACAAACACTCAGATCCGTCCGGGTTAGTACCACGACCTCACAGAAGACCGGCGTGAAGTGGAAAAGTTACACTTCTGCGTTTCGTCTGGTGAGTGAGGTAGCCGGGGCCCACTGTATTAAACATGGCAACGCATTTGCAACTTACGGGTGTTGCAAGTCAATGGGCAGCGGGAGGCAGTTATCACTTAACATCAGGTCAACCGCCAGCTCGAAAAAGTTTGTCAAGAATTTCCGAGATACTCCAGCCGTTTGGTGACCCGACCGTCACGTAGCCTCATTGCGATGCAAGTGGCGACGCGCATTGAATCCGACACGCCGCCGCTGCTCCCCGTGATGAGGTGCCCGAAGGTCGCGGCGAGTCCACCGTCCGATGTGCTCTTATTGGAGTGGACTAAATCGTGCCGGCTTATTCGGATCGGCGCGTTGACTCGACCTTTTTTATGTTTCAAAAATCGCTTGTTTAGCAACCGTTGCGGCAGTAGCTTGAAAGTGGACTGTATGTTAAAGTATTTCTTTCCGTTTGCAGGGGGGCTGTTTTTTTAAATACAGGAATAGGTAGAGAAAGAAGTGATCTTCGCGTACCCCGGGGAAATAAGCGCAGAGACAGACAGGTGATGCTTTTCAACTCACATGCTAGAATTTGGCGAATCGTGAAGAATTTGAAGCGAATTGTGCGCCAATTCTGTGCGGGAAGCGAAGATTCGGGCAAAGACTTGGGTGTTCTCTAGCGGCTGTGATCCACATATGACATGACTTACCATTATGCTGGTTACCGTTTTCCACCTCCAAACATAAACAAAATTTATCTTTACCCGTCTAAATTTAACTTTATCAATATGCTAACGTTTCCACGAGATACCTGAAATCAATTATCCATAAACAATGATACCTGTCTGCTTGCGTTTATTAAATTTGAGTTCCTGCTGCGAGTCTTCGTAGCAAGGTATACGAACGTGAATTTTATACATTATTTATTACAATTTTATATTCTAATTGTACGCTTTACACTCAAATTGCTCTTATGCAAGGAAGACAACAATTGTCGGGATCTCTGTCGCATTTTAAGAACGTTCGTTCCCTTTCCTCGGTCATTTGTAATAGGTTCCGTTTGGTGATTGTACTAGTTCTATAGAATGGCACTTACACATCCTGTTTCTACAATTTTTGAAAGGTGGATGGATCCCACCACCTGTTGGGGATCCATGGTCATCCACAATACGAGTGGTTGCTGGTAGCTGCTAGGCCTTTTCAAGGGGGTAGGCCCCAGTTAATTAACCCAAAAAAATGCTAAAGTGTACTCAATCGATGAAGCACTCAAGATGTATCTGATCTATTTACACGAGCAAGGAAGTCGATTGATATTGCGCGCGCCTGTTTTGTTTATTTTTAGACGTAGTTTAAATAGTTTTGAGGTTAATTGTTTCGGCCTCGCCACTTACAACGTGAACGGTTACCTTATGACAGTAAACCCATTGAAACGTAGCGTATCAGTAACATCGGCTCTAATTTTAATGCGAGTTTACGGCAACAGGGCAGGCAATTGCAGGTACTGAGTGATTTCCGCCTCCCTTGGACAACAATGGCAACTTTGAGTCGCGAATTGTTGCTTATTTACTGTCCGATTACCTCACTCACCAGATAATGCAGGAATACAAATACTTTGCGCTTTGTATCTTCTGAAAGACTCCTATTCTGTGTCCTGTCTGTTCGTGCAGAACTGCCGCGTTCACCACATTAATGATAATATACTTACATAAAGGCTGTCTCACATATTTACCCAGTACATAAGACAGCATTTATATGGTCAGGACAGATAAGTCAGTTATGTGGGGCACGTCGGGAATATCGGGTACGTACGACAGGTGATGACGTCACGTGTCGTGACAGCGAGAGCTTGTGCATGGATAATAACTGTCAAACCAACGCATTTTCAAATAGCGAGCTGGCGGTTCGCCTGACCTCAAGTTAAATCATCATCCTCGGCATCTGCAACACCCGTTAGCCGCAGATGCGTTGCCAACTTTTAATAAAGTGGCGCCCGGTTACCTCACACACTATAACACCTGTATGAATTATAACACCACCGGCCTGCCCAATCGTGCAACAGTTAACCCTACTGCGTAGCCCTACCACAAGCAAAGCCGTACATTACAAAGAATTTTACTTGAAATGTTAAAGAACCCACAACTGCCCAAAAAGATGTACAAGCGTCGACCATAATAATTGAAATACACCTATTAATGAATTCCATTTGAGCTATCCATCGCCAGTGATTGGGTGGAATTTAGGCATCGCGGTCTATTATTAGATTGTAGGTCATCGCATAAACCGAACGAGTACGCCAATCCAGGCCGTAGAAGATAATCTGGGCAATTGTTTGAACGTAAAGATTGCGTAGTTGACACCACCATTAGCCTGCACGTCGTATTAATCTTGGGGTAAACATTGCATCTAGATTTGTTTGTTTGGCCGAGGCGAGACTCATATGATAAGATGTTGTATGACAACGGGTTTTTGTCTTCGTTGTTTGTACAGTTCAATGCCTTCAGAAGTTTGCAAAAGTAATTTTACTGCAACTAAGCCGTGATTGCTCAGTGTCTGGGCGCTTGCTTTCCAATATACTCGAGTTATTTTGTATAACTGATGTTACGCTTTCAGTTCTTAGATTAAAGCTTCATAGAATGCAGAACCGGTGGGCTAGCCAGAACCCACGGGCTTGAGGCCCTCCTCAGTGGATAGGGCCGCGCATGTACTCATTGCGTGCGTTAATTACGGCATGTCGCCTTCGGGCCATCGTCGGATAATTTTACTGCAACTAAGCCGTGATTGCTCAGTGTCTGGGCACTCACTTTTAATTCAATATACTCGAGTAATCTGAGTTCAATTCCCGTCGCGGGCACCAATGAAATTGTTAATTACAATTTTAAGTTGACTTATCACGTGCTCAACGGTGAAGAAAAACAAACTGAGGAAACATGTATATTTTCGAAATAAAATACAACCTTATTTCGAAGATATGTAAGTATATTGTTTCGAAGATATGTAACTATAAGATATGTAAGTCTGTCAATCCGCAGTGGGAACGCGTGTTGGAGTATGTATGCTTAATACCCTCTGTACTGGGGATACCTCTGCCTAGATGCGGAAACGTATAGGCTGTTAATTTTTACTTGCTAGAACACTAACGGACAACAGTAAAAGTGTAAAAAGTTTCCATAGTAAGTAGAAGACTATGAAAATTTGTTAACAAACATTTTGTCCTATACCTCAGCATTGCACACACTAAGCCGGTATCCCGTTCAGCCCCTGACTAGTGTATCACATTTGTGCACGAACATTTTCTGTGAGCACAATTTCTGCCTTCAGTTTTTAATATGGACGGGCGGGAAGACGCAGAACTTTGTGCTGCAGCCTGTGCTTTATTATGTAGGCTGCTTAAAAACGAAGAAGGCAACCGCAAACTGCGTGGCCTTCCTATAACGACGCAATGAAGTAACGAATTGATTTGTAGAAGAAATAAAAATAGATCCATTGAGTGGATTAAACATTTCCCTCGGATATTGTGGGAAGATTTTGATTGGTGTGGTTACCATAATTTTATCATTCGTCCAATCCATATTTAACTAAACGTTTTACTGCGGCAGGGCCACGCAACAGCTTCTACCGTTGCACGAATGGGCCGGCGCGTCGCCACAGACCTCACAGAATGCTGTATTTCGTCTGCTGTGCGAGGTAACCGGGGGCTCACTTTTTTAACCGCCTTCAAAAAATTAGGTGGTTCTCAATTGGACTGTATTGGGTTCTGGAGATACTTAGGGAGATCTTGAAAATCAATTATAAAATTAATACAGACCGAGATATTTGAAGTCGGTTTTTTTATTCGTTAGTAATAATGGACTTGTTAAAGGTTGTCACCGCTCTGCAAGCCATCGGGTGTTGTAGATGTCTATGGGTGGCGGTATTTAATTAACAGCAAGTGAACCAGCTGCTTGCTTGACTACTTACAACTGACATAAATAACAATCATCATCATCATCAACATTTCAGCCTGTTTGAGTCCACTGCTGAACACAGGCCTCCTCCACAGACTGCCACGAAGCACGATCCCGAGCCACCTGCTCCCATCGACTTCCCGCACATTTGCACAGGTCGTCACTCCATCTAGTGGGGGGAAATGTGCGCGTACAAATAAATGTTTTCACTCCAGCAGTGGAAGCAAGAATCAAGACTGATTTCCCGAACAGCAAGTGTACTCGCGTCGACGCAAGTCCACTGCTTGCATACAAAGTATACAGATGTGCGCGAACATTTTAGAAATGTTTGCGAACAATTTGTTACTGTTTGCTGTAATGAGTCGACCAGAACAAACATTTGTGGCGTACACTGTGCGTTATATTGCCGCTCAGTTCAGCACATGGTAGAATCGCGCCTTAACTGCTGGTTAGCGATCTGGAAAACTATACATAAAGTGATATCAACGATTAGAATTATAACGCTTCTTGAGCACGCGCAACCCGACGCAACAAACCCAATGCTCCGCGAGTCAAGTCTTAATCTAAGTCGTTCGGCAGCTCGTCACGTCCGGTTCCGTCACGAGAAGGCTCGGTGCTGGAGAGCAAAGCACTAAAGCAAGTATGATCGTTTTCTGAACAGTCAAGCGTTGAACATCGTAAATCTTCCCATGTAGTCATTGGCCACCTCAGAAATAACCTTTAAGATGTAAACAATGCGCATATTAGTCTACCGATTGTCAGGAGGCGACTTCCCGCTGCCAATATACGCAGACAGACGTCCGGTCCCCATTCTAAACTACTGCGTGAAGGCTGAATTGATAGACGGGGGGAAAACAAGGATTCTGGAACACTAAGATAGTGTCGTTTTCGAACGAATTGGTGATGAGTGTCTGTACGATGGAAACCGACATCAACGATATCTACGAAGATGGCGAGAACTCTCTGTAGACAGACACGTGTTATGTATAAAGCAAATTTTATCGTAGAGGCTTTTTTATGTTTCGGGTAGTAATAAATTCGTTGGATCGTACGGAGTTAGTTTCTTTCTGAACGCCACACTGTTTGGACAGCTATACACAACGGAAATTCTAATCCTTAAGCACGAAATGGCTCTTCGTTAAAAATCAACTCTTATGGATGAGAACACTCGCGTTCATTTGGTTGTTGATGTAGAAAAGAGGCCGGAAGCTAGCCTTGTATTTGCCAGCTGAATCGGTCAGCCGAGGTCCCAAGCTGAATCTGACCTTCTGAAGCGAAGAGTGAGACCAGTGCATCCGGCTCCGCACATCATCAGAGGGCTTAATGTGACAACCGAGGAGTGATACGAGTATACGTCTTCCGCAATAAACCGCAATCGATTTCACCATGAAGGAATCTTTATCTGCTTTTATTTAAGTAGAGAAAAAACAAACGAGAAACGTCTTTAATTTTGACTTAACTAAAACTTTAAACTTTAACATAATTTCTGATAATTTATTCGAAATGCTACAATAAAACACAAAGCTATTCCTTGCTTAATAACCTTCCACAAGTGTTTAAGATATAAAATATGATTATTTTCGGGTTAATGTAATGACAAGTATACAAAGGATCCACAATATGAAATAAAACTGGTTCCGTACCATTATCTGTAAAAACGGCAAAAATAATCAAGTCTATTGTATGCAAGCTCCACTTAAATATTTTTTCATTCTGTTTTTTAGTATTTGGTG